TAGTAGATGTATGTACACATCCTGCATGTTCTACTTATTTAGTCAGTCGATGTATGTACACTCCCTGTCTGTTTTACATGTTTAAGTCAGACTATCTGTCCACACTTCCTAATCTTTATAATAAATAAAATTTTATAAACAATTTAACTTTTTATTGACAAAAATCATAGACATAACGCATTGACAACAAACATAGACATATTGCATAAAACTAGAGCTTAAAACTTTAAAATATAACATAAAAGTACACACAAAAATAGGAATCGATCTCGCGTCGCCAGGCAACAAGGCAAAACTATATTCCACAAGTCTACTAACTAGTCACTAAAGTTAAAGTAAATTATAAATATATACTTAGCTTTTAACACTACGAAGTTATTCAAAACGTAAATATATTTCGGGTCATCAATTTACACAAAACTTTAAACGTCGGTTTTATTCTACCACTTGCTAGCAACCGTTTATAATGATGCTTAATATTAAAAAGGTTTTGTTCACAAAAAAAAGTAAAAATTTCAATCCTTTTGACAATTTAGTATTCACGACAGGCGCAGACTGGCCCACCCGGAAACCGGGAAATTTCCCGGTGTGCCCCACCATCTTTGGCGTCCCCTCCCCCTCAAATCATAAGTTGTACATCTCTATAATACCACATGTAACATATAATTAATAACTATAAAACCATTTAGTGTTATTGCTTCATGTGCAAATTCATGATCCTTCACTTTCTCACAATACAATTAAAGCATCTTTTATATCAGGGGCGAATTCAGAAATATTCTAGGGGAGGACAGAAAAGTATTTTTTGACTTATTAACAAATACTCACGTGAATTAGTTTTTCTCATGCTGTTTACTTTACTAAATGATAGTTTAAACTAGACTCAAAAGAACTCATCATTATGTAAGTCTAGGAGAAAGTCTAGCGGTGCCAAAAGAAGACAAGAAAAGAAGAAGCGTGATTTGCTTCAATCAGGCCGTGATCCTAAACAACGCAAGCTGCTATTTTAATAATGAACATATTATCAATGTTGTTGAAGAAGCATCTGTTCCCACGTCAAACCCAGTGTTAATTAAGAAAAAAGCTTTTTTGTGGAATATAACGCCTAACATAAACATTGAAGCAAGTACCGTGTCAAACACAATGTCCTCCAGTCCTCAACAAGATGAGCAATCAGATTTTACTATTAGAAAATTGCCCGTAAAAAAATAACATGATTCAGCCGAACCGAACCGTATGATCCAAAAAGAGTGTACCAAAGATTGATATCAGATAATTAGTATGTACAAATACGTTAGATCAACCGCAAGAGTTAAAGACAATCAAATCATGGCACTTCACTGCAATGCATGCATGGCATTTTTGAAATAAGATTCTAGTTTTACTCTTGGATTTAAAAAGTTCTCCCATATATACCAAAGAATCAAAGACCATGAAGAATCTAAATCACATAACGCTGCTGTAATTGCACTATTAAGTTGTACAACAGAGAAAGATATAAGCTCTTTAATCAAAAAAGGTATAGTGAAAAAGCAGAAAGCGCAAGTATTGAAAAACATCGAAGTTTTTAAACAAAGTTATGCAGCACTTATTTTTATTGGGAAGCAAGCTCTTCCATACAGAGGTAATCGGGGTAAATCTCTCTACAGTTTACACGATAAATCTATTGATTACGGAAACTTTTTGAAACTAATAAGCAGAGCTTGACGTTCCTCTTAATAATCATATAGAAAAAGCTATTCAGGCAAGTCAAAAAAGGAAAGATTGTTTGATACGTAAAGGAAAAGAAAGCTCACGTGGACGTGGGGGCTTGGTAACAATGTTGTCAAAGACTTCCGTTAACAGTATTCTAGCTGCTATTTCAAACTTGATGAAGAATTGTATAATCAAAGAAATTGGTAATCAGAAATTCAGTGTTCAAATGGATGGTAGTTAAGATACGTCGGTGATTGATCAGGAGACAATAGTCTTACGATATGCACTTGGAGAGGACGTGAAAAAGCGATTATTTGCGGTAAAAAGTTACTGATACAGGACTATACCAACTATTGAATTCAGAGCTTGAGCACAATGGTTTGAAAATGGAAAAAATTATGTGAATCCTTTGATGGAGCAGCAAACATGCGTGCTGAATACCATGGAGTTCAACATTACATTAACGACGTTTCACCAAATGCTGTATACATGTGGTACTACGCGCACGTTCTAAATTTGTCCGCAACAGATATTGTGGAAAATATATTAGCTCATTCGTTTGTAAGAATCGCCAGAGACGGATATTCACATTGGACAAAGAGTTGGATCTGCGAAACTGAAAAGACTGCAAAAAATTGGTAAAACACGTTGGTGGTCCAAGCAGATGACACTTGAACGAATTTTTGAACTTATCATGCTCCACAAGTGGAATCTTTCAATTCTCTTTTGCAATTTCTTAAATGTATTTGGATGTCTTCAAGATTCGATGCAAAATCAACATTCGGAGCCACAGCTCTGCATGACAAATGGTGTTGTTTCGATGTGCTTCTTGCAGCTTTTCTTCCTCTGCGTGTGTACACTGTTTTGCAACAAGCATCTGAATATTTGCAAACAAAAAGTCTGGATTAAATAAATGCTTGAAATATGGTAGAGTCAGCCCACAAGAACTGCAGACAATACCGATCGAAGATGTCCATTCCAAGACAATTGCATTTGTTAAAGAAATCAACACCCTCCTAGATGCTAGTGAACTTGATTCAGATGTTGAAATAGAATTGCGTGTAGAACGAGTTCATCGAAAGAAACGTATGGCAGGGGAACTCGCCTTTGATGACATACCAGAGAATCCTCTTGATCGTTTCAGAATGGATGTTTTCTGTAGAGTAATTGATCAGATTATCACTAGCATAGATGAACGTTTCTCAGTTAACAGGGACATCATTAGAGACACTGCGTGTTTAGATCACAGACGTTTTAAAGAAATTGTTGAAAATGGTATTCCAGAAAACAGTCTTGCAAAAATTTCTAAACTAACTAAACTTTGTTTTGAAAGATTGAGATCTGAATTGCATAGCTTTGCTATAAACTTTGATAGGCTCTCAAAAACACTACAAGATGAATTTACAGTGAGTCCTAGTGACGAAGATTCAGAAGAATCGAATTCAGTCTCAGAGTTGGATACTTCAACAAAAGCAACTGAAAATGAGAATGATAGAGATTTTCAGAACTTTAAGCGTTGTGTAGGGTTTTGTAAAATATATTTAAAATGTTGCTATAATATTCTATACAAATATTCGTTGAATGCAACTTATTCAAATCTGTTTCTGACTTACGAATATCTATTAACACTTTCATTCTTACAAGTAAGCTGTGAACGGGCATTTAGTAAATTAAAAATTGTCGAAACTAGGTTGCGTTCCTCATTATGTAGTGACAAGCTTGAAACATTTATGTTGATGTCGATCGAGATGGACAATTTGAATTCAATTGCAGTTGAGGACGTAATTGCCTATTTGTGTAAGGATTCCGTAGAGTTATCAAAGATGTTTCTTCTATAAATTACATTAGGAGATCATAGTCAGTTACAGTATAAATACCGGAAGCACACGGTCTATTTTTATTTTATTTTAAATGATTTAAAAAGAGGTTTATTATTCATTTATCATAATAAATTCATCGTGTTATTATTATTATTATTATTATTATTATTATTATTATTATTATCATTGTCTACATAATTATCATGTATATTTCATACATAAGTAAAATGACATACTAAATTATATTATAAGCATGAATGAAATTTGAACTTTGAAAGTGTAACATTATTTTACCTATTTTTATTTAAATTAAAAAGACCTTTATATAAACACTAGCCTATTTTCTACCCCTATCCCAACCTTTTAGCGCCCCTTCCGCTTCCCTTCCAGGTAGGATTTCAAGCCCCAGTCCGCGCCTGCTTTCGGTAATTTAAAAATACGACACTTATTAAGTTTGCAACGCCACATTTGTTCACCATGATTATGGTTAAAATTAAAAAAAAAATGTTACAGGAACGTTAAAGAACACTTCAACTTTGATAAAAATAATGACCTTCGCTAGCGCACAGTGGGCCATGGTGTGCCAAAAGTCAAAATTACTTTTATTCATTTTTGTATAAAAAACTACTATTCAATGAACGTAGCATATTGATTTACATAAAAACATAAGGATTGTTGATCAAAAAATGCGCTTTCGCGGTGAAAAAATATTAGTTTAAACTTTTTTAGAAAAGCGCTTGACCGCCAAAAATATTGTTCAGGGTGACAACTTAAAATTAAAAAATTTTGGTGAACTTCACCAAAATTTTTTAATTTTAAGTTGTAAATTTTAAGTTAAAATTAAAAAATTTTGGTGAACTTCACCAAAATTTTTTAATTTTCTAAAAAAGTTAAAAAAAATTTTTTTTTAATATGTTTTGCCATTTAATGTTACGCAATTTATATTACTACGAGTTTGAACTGTAGTTTTAATACATATATTGGCTATCAATTAGCATTTCTGTTTATCGTCTTGAACGCATTTGACTCATTTTATGATCAATCAAAGATAGTGTGTTTTATGGTTGAAATAATTGCGTTTATTTTTTGCTAATACTATGCTTATAATTTTTCGGCCATGTTTGGCCAGGGTCTTTATAGCTGATATTTACTGAAAAAAATATATTTAATGAGTTTAAAACAGTTTTGTTTGCAGATACTTGCAGATGTAGAATATGTAACTAAAACATTACACATGATTTTATACCGTGACAACTGTCAATAAAACATTTTTTTTATGTTATTCTATATTATTGGTTATACAAAAACCCTATATAACTATATTTAACATATATTATATTAGACTATGTGAAATATATATATATATATATATATATATATATATATATATATATATATATATATATATATATATATATATATATATATATATATATATATAAATAGGTTGACTTTTCTATTTTTAGAATGAATAATAATATAACAATGAAGTACCATTATATATACAATTGCATTAGATCCAATAATATGTCTATACAAGATCCCACAATTTATGATAAATTAGTTGTCAAGTTAGACCTGGATGATTCTGAAATTATGAGAAACAAATTAATTGCATTCTTAAACAACTTGAAGACTTGTTGGAATGATGTTAGCCGCAAAGCTGCAGCTTTTGAGAAAAAGTATGCAAATTGGTTGGATACTGACTTTATATCTTCTGCATATGTTCCACCTGCTACTCCAACAATTGTTACCACTCCTCTTGGAAGGCCTACTTTGAATTTTGATGAGTCCGCTTTGAGATCTAAGTGTAGAAAAGTTGCTGAAATGGATCAATACTCTGCTAGCCAACTATTATTTGCAACTAAAGTCAAATTTGGAAAAGATAATCAGCCTAAAAAAGCTAAATTAGTAGAAAAATTGTTAGTGGATATTATATCCCCATCTTATATGTTTAGTGATGAAGCTTTGGCCCTTATTTTAGATTGTAATTCAACAAAAGCATCTTATCAACTGATGAAAAACAAAGCTGATGAAAAGGAATGGAATCTCTACCCAGCATATGATAATGTTAGAATGGCAAAAGATCGATGCTATCCTATAATTATACGTGTAACTGATTATACTGCTAGTGTTCCACTTCAAGATCTACTAGATCACACTACAACAAGACTTTTGGAGACACAGACTGGTGTTGTAAATGCAAATGAGTATAATAGAGTAACTCTAATATACAAAGCTGGTTTTGATGGCTCAAGTGGGCATAGTATTTATAAACAAACATGTAATGATAATGAGTCTACTAGGAATCTGAAGAGTGAAGAATCATTGTTTATTACATGCTTTGTACTTTTAGAACTCTCATCTATTGTTAATGATAAAAAGATTATTCTTTGGAGAAACTCTAAACCATCATCTACTTTGTATTGTTGACCTTTGCGATTTAAATTTGTAGAGGAAACTGCAGACCTTCTTCGTAGTGATGAATTGACATTAAAAAGTGAGATCAAACAGCTAACTAAAACAAGCTATATCCTACTTAATGGTAAGCCTATTGATGTTGACCATAAAATTGAAGTTACTATAATTGATGGCAAAGCCTATACTGCATTATCTGATGTAACTGACTCATCACAGTGTTGCTCTCTTTGTGGTGTTAGTCCTAAAGAAATGAATGATATTGACAAGGCATATAGAAAATAATGTGTATATAAACTAGTAGAAAATCACTCAACAAAATATTTTTATTTAACACTGTTTTATCAATAAAGACTCATCAGAAATGATGCATTTCTGATGAGTCTTTATTGATGAAACACAGTGTTAAATGAAAAATTTTTGTAAAGCAATTTTCTAATTTGAAATTTAAAATCTTGAATGAAATTTAAAAATCATTGCTCTGTTCTTTTAAGAACATTATTACATTTTAAAATTTGTTTACATATATATATATACATACATACATACATATATATATATATATATATATATATATATATATATATATATATATATATATATATATATATATATATATATATATATATATGTATACCTTTTTATATTTGATTAGTTTAATATGCTGAAGTTGCACACTCAAAATGAATTACAATGTGGGATTTCAATTCTACATGCATGGTGTTACTGAAGTTGCACACTCAAAATGGATTACAATATGGAATTTCAATTCTACATGCATGGATACAAACATTCGAATTGTTGGATACAAACATTCGAATGCTTAATCCATCTTGCTTACAAATTGCCAGTTAAGAAATGGTCAGCAAGATTACCAGCTGACAAGCAACAAATCGAAATGCAAAAGAAAAAAATTCAACTTGCTTTTCGAGAGAAGATGGGACTGATTGTCTATAGGCCTAAGGCTGGCAGCTCAGGAACATATAATGATGGCAACACCTCCAGAAGAGCCTTTTAGAATGAACAACTGTTTTCTGAAATCACAGAACTCAATTTTGAATTTATAAAAATGTTCCATGTTGTTCTGACTTCTATTTCATGTGGTTTTGAGCTAGATGCAGTTTTATTCAGGGAATACTGTACACATACAGCTAGGTTTTACGTGGAGTGCTATCCATGGTATTATATGCCGCAGAGCATTCACAAAATGCTAATTCATACTCCCAGTGTTGTTGATTACATGACATTACCAATTGAGCTCTTAAGTGAAGAAGCTATAGAGGCTCGGAATAAAGATTTTAAAAAGTATCGCGAGCATTTTACACGCAAGTGTGACCGTATTAAATGTAACGAAGATTTATTTAAGCGATTCTTTTGTTCTAGTGATCCAGTCATTTCTTCACTAAGAACAATAGTTGGTACTAAGAAGAAGGTTTTGCCAGAAGGTATTCTGCAACTGTTAAAAAACAGTGTTTAGTTGTTCTTTTTATGGAATTTTAGAGGCTAATTTTTGGTTTCTTGCTTTAGTTGTTATTAAAATTTAAATTTATACATTGTAAATTAAAATTGTTAATATTCTATAATTAACATAAATTAAAAATTTCCCAAATATATTTATTTGGAACACCAGAGCATTAAAAATCCTATTTTTTCATAATTTGCAGTAAATAAGTCAAGAATTTGTATAAATTTGACTGCCACTATAAAAATATTTAAGATGTTGCTATGCATAATAAGGTATCCATAGCAACCAAACTAAATATAATATAAAACGCATACCGCGTATTGGTACTCTTACCAAACTTAGTGTGTATGACACACAAAAACAACTACAAGTAGATTTATGCTACGCCAAAATAAATATCCATAGCAACCAAATAAAAAAAACACCTTTGTAAGAAGCGCAGACCTTACACTGGTGCTCACGCAAAATTTAGTGTATATAGAACATAACAAATCTGCAACTACAAAAAGTAGGTTGTTGCTATACAAAATTTCGGTATCCATAACAACCAAATAAAAAATAACATCTTAATAAGAGGTGCAGACCTTACACTGGTGCTCATGCCAAATTTAGTGTAGTTAGCACACATAACAAATCTGCAACTACAAAAAGTAGATTGTTGCCATGCAAAAAAATAGGTATCCATAGTAACTAAATAAAAAATAACACCTTCATAAGAATCTCTAACCATATATTGGTACTCATGCCAAATATAGTGAATGTAACACTAATATTAAATTAGTTATTAATTTTGTCTCAAAATTGGCCATTCTGGCCCACTGTGTAGCGGAGTCAGGAAATCGGCTTTGCGCGTCCTTCCGTATAGTAGTCCTTGGTAACAAGTTAAAAATTTACAGGTTGAAGATTATATAGTAAAACACAATATATTACAATTAGTAAATCGTATAATAAGATATATACTTTTTCGTTTAGTTATTTATTTTTCTTTTTTATAAAAAGAAAATAAGAAACAAATCAAGACAGAAATAACTAAGTAACGATGACTTTTTTTAGTTTAATTATTTTAGGTACTTATTTAAAAAAAAAAGGTACTTATTTAAAAAATTTTAAGATCGAAGTAATTTTCTAATAGAAATCGTTTAGATTCTCTTTTTGATTTTTCAAAAAACTTTTCCACATAAATGGTCCACGGTATTAAATTTGAAACAATCTGAGTTTTAAATAAGATCTTGGAACAACAAAATTATTAATTGAATACTTTGTGGAGTATTTATGAGTAATTTCGGTGAAAAAAGAGTGAAATATATTAATAGATAAACCATATTTTGACTTAAACATTAGAAACATAACTTGGTATATATTAAGTTTATAAACATTGAGTGCATTAAGTTTCATTAAAAGAGATTCACCATTAACAGTTCTGTTAACAACAAATATAATTCTACTTGCATGTTTTTTTTTTGCTATAGATTTTTCTAAGCTTTCCATAATTAGTTTTTCCCCATGCAATATTGTAATAGGAAAGATAACTATGAGTAAATGAAAAATATATAATTTTTAAAGACTCAATATTAAGAAATCGTTTAACTTTATATAACATTGAGATATTTTTGGAGATTTTGTTTTTAATAGATTTAATATGATATATTTTCATCTATAATCACTCCTAGAATGCTAACCGTTGACTCTTTTTTAATAACTGTTTTATTCATAAAGAGATTGGGTAATTTTAAAGAAAGCTTATCTCCCCTACTAGGTTTGTGGAAGAAGATAAAGTTAGTTTTCCCAACATTTAATGAAAGTTTATTAATTGTACTTCAGTCATTTTTTTTTAATAATTCTTCGTTTGATATTCTAAACAGATCTTTTATATTACTATTTGAATAAAAAAAAAATTCGAATCATCAGCAAATAAAATAACATTAAAAATTTTGGATACTAAATATGAATCATTTATATAGAGTAGGAATAATAGTGGGCCTAAGAATTAACTCTGGGGAACACCACAAGTTATATTATGCTTTTCTGTTTCATTTGCTGAATATATTATGTATTGCACGGCTGTTTCACTCAATATAAAAGCGAGCCTGACGTCACGAGTTTATCAAAAAAAAAAGTATTTCCGCATAAAAAGTATAAAAATTCATTAACTTTAAAATAATAGTATTTTTTTTCTATAAATGCTTTCATCTTCAAATAAAAAAAATATAAAAGATCTATCTTTCCTTGTTAAATAAACATTTACATTAAACGGAATAAAAATGAAAGCTGTAAAAATATTGTTAATAATTTGGCATCACTTTTCTGATTTTTGCGATTTTTACGCAAAACCTGTCTTAGGCCAACTAAGATTTGATAACATAGCTACATGGTCGATGGTTGAAATTTAGAACAGTTATTAATGAATGTCTGTTCTATCTAGATTTCCACAGACTTTGCAAGTTTTTATATAGAAAGTTAGTTTTTAATGCATTTATATTTTTGTTTTTATTCGTTTTGAATAAAAAACATAACATTTTTGAAAAGTCTGTGGATTTAGTAATACTTCAACCTTATATGAATAAGAAAATCAAAAAATTATTTTCTGTACCTCTAGCTATGTTATCAAATATGTTTTCAAACTTGGCATGTTTAGCGACATTTTTTTTAGTTTTTTTTGCATAAATTCTTGTTTACATTTTAAAGCGGTGACGCAAACTCGGATCGTTACGTCCCCAACGATTATCGGATGCATTTTAAGAAAACAAACAAAACAAACGAGACACATTTTATAGAATAAAAAACAAAGTTTCGCGGATTAATTTCTCTTGGATATTTGACTAATTTCAGATAAGTTGATTAATCCGATTTTATCTAGTGCATCTATTTGTCAATATTATTCTATTTAAGTTGTTTGTATTATAATTTTATTACTATATCAATAAAGATTATAAAGCAAAGTTTCGTGGATTATTTCCTCGTGGATATTCGACTAATCTCAGATAAGTTGCTTAATTCTTTTATTTTTAGTGTATTTATTTGTAAATATTATTTTATTTAATTTCTTTTATTATATTATTATTATAATATCATTATCATTATTTATGTGATGTATGCAACTGAGAGGGAAATTTTGAAACTGTACATCGGTTGGGAAGATGGTTGGGAAAATGAGTATAACTTTAATTTTGTAAAGCGAGTAATTGACACTAGTAAGATCACTAACAATGTGATTTCAATTTTATTAACAGTTTTTCATCCAAAAGCGTTGTTTACTTTTTTAAGTTTTCTTTTGCCAATTGAGTTTAATATGCCTAATATTGATGTGTTAAATAAAATGTGCCGAAAAATAAAACAAAGAAAAAAAGATTCTAAAAAGTATTTTGAAGCTTCAAAAAACGAAGCATTTTTTAAAATGCAACTGTCTCCAGCTCCACAAACAAAAAAACAAAAAAAATCAGCAGATGCAGATAATTTTTATATTTTAAATAGGAATAAGGAACTAAGTAGTCAAGTTGAACAATTAATTTCTAAAGAAAAAAATAATGTGGAGCAAATAGATAATTTAAAAATACAGGTATCAAAGTTGGAAACTGAAGTTATATATTTAAATTCTAAAAACAAGGCTCTCAACGCACATTGTAACTCATTAAGTTCTCAATTAGAGACTATGAGTATTAGGCTAAAACAGGAGGAGCAGTTCCAACTTTTAAAAAAAAAAAAATTAAAAACAGCACACCGTAAATTTGCATCTGCTCGTGCCAAAAATGTAAGATTGCTAAAAAAATTTAAATTTGAAAAAAAAAATGCAAAAATCAGTGATATAAACAAGAACAGTTGCCAAATTTGCAAATATTTTGCTAGCAGTGATAAGGATTTAGT